TTTTTTTCTTTTTTTTTTTTTTTTTTTTTTTTTTTTTTTTTGTAAGTAAATTTGTAAACATCTTTTAAATATGATATATCTCGAATAGCCGCCTTAAGGTGGTGCTGTTACTGTCAAAAAATATTGTGTTGCCAGATAGGTCTACTGATAAACTCTCTTTCAAATAAAATTTTTCTGATTCATTGCTTCTTGTATTGCGAGGTGCATCTTTCACATCGAAATATGCACAATGGAAGCGACCGAACCATTGTTGTACTACACGAACTGATACAGTATCGTCACCGTAAACATCATAAAATTCATTGGTAGTTAGCGTGGCATTCTTCCCGTTTTGATACTAAAATTTCGAAACATTGCGAATTTCTTCTGTATTTTCACTCATTTTTAAGCAGCTGTAACTTTGTTTTTTCAAATTCCTTAAATTTGATTTTTTCTTGGGTAAAGTGCTACCAATCGAACACCATAGAGTAGTACACAATGATATTAATAGCAGTGGATATATATGACTCAAACGACATCTATTGGCAAAGTACGAAAAAAAACTTTTTCGACTACCCAATAAAAAACAAACTTCATATACCTCAGTCTTCTTTCTGAGTTGTTTCAAGTTGTAATGAATTAGTTTATTAGCATTGTAATATGTATATAGACTTGTTGAAAATATATAATCCATATAATTAGTTATTACATATTTTATAGGTAACATGGTAATTCACAGTAACTGAAAGCTACAAGTAACAATAATTGATGAAGGAACACGATTTATGCTAAATGCAATGCAATAAAAACTAGCCCTTGTAGACGATTTGTTTATATACACAATTATAGATCTATAATATTATATTTCATATATAATATTTAATATTAAATTTAGAAAAATTAAATAATATAATAGTTTAAAAACATATTGCAATTACTCTCAATGTTTCTACTACAATGTTCCTCCTACTATGCAAACCTCCTAATGCAAAGCGCCCAATACGAGCTTAAGTATTACCATAGCAATAGCTAATCTATGTCCATGTTCCCTCCTCGTTCATCGTGAGAGCTCGTCAGAAATCGTTCAATTTATTTGCATCGCGCAAAACTGCAATTAGCAAGGGATTTTTGCGGCTGGCACGCTCACACTCCGACAGTTTGTATATCTATATCAAAGAGATCTATCATGCGATTAGCAGTCGCTGGGGCTGCTGGAAAATCGGGAAACTGCTGGAAAATCCATTAAGTCCGCTGCATAGGGGCAGGCACTGCGGCTGCATTTAGACGTGAATTCGCATTTGCTTTTGCCTGTCAACATATTTAAAACTTATTCAGGCGGCAAATAAATATTTACACTATGTCGGCAAAATGGGCGTAGAAAATCCGTGCTTAGCCTACCAAAAACGCGGATAGAAAATGTAGAAAAAATGAACTGGGAAATAGGGAAAAGTGGGTGGAAAACGGCTGTAAAAATGAATGATTGAAAAGCATTTGAATGGTGAGACGAGAAAAGCTTTATCATTTGACGCTCACTGCGCCCAAAAACTATGCAAATAATTCATTTGACAGACAGACGAGCAAACAAACAAGCAGGGGTTGGCTGAGGGGTGGATTGCCAGGGGCTTGCCTAGCAGTGGTGACACAGGCGGGGCGGGGACGAGTAGCGAGAGCGACGATAAAGTGTGAAAATATGCAGCGGACAAAATTGCAAAAGAAATTAAAGCGAGCAGCAGCAGCACTAAAAAAGAAAACAAAATTTGTTGACTCCCAAGGCATGCGTGTGGGTGTGTGTGTGTGTGCAGCATGTCTGCGCAAGTGTAAGTCAGAGTGTGTGCCTTGGCCATGGTCAGCTTAGTTGGCTACACGCTCTCCTACCTAGCAAATCTTTACCTCTGGCTACATTGCAAGCCAAAAGTCAGTTGCCTTCTGTTTTGGCATTCATGCTGTGCAGCCACGCCACCGCTTCTTCCCCCTTCCGTCCGCTCGCTTTCGTAGTGCACGTGCCTGGGAGCCTGCAAGTCCGATATTTAGATTTGTTTGGTCCTTTTCTGTAAAACTGTTCTGGCATTTTTGTTATGCTCCACACCTTTCACACCTTGCAAAAAACACACCAGCCTCCCAATAAGTGCCGCCCACGTTCGGCCCTTGCACATAGTTCGTTGTGTCTATTGTTTTGGCATAAATATTGCCTGGATATAAACGCTCGAAAGTGAGCTTTAAAACGTATTTGCAGAAAGCTCAAAATCCACAACAGATTGACGTAAAACTCGCATTAAAAATGCAACATGTTATGTCGCATGCAAGCAATCTCTGCCCCTTAACCTCTACCCAGACAAGCTTAAAAAGGCCAAAAAAAAAGATAATACAGAAAAAATAACTACCTCACTCGAGGCATTTTAAATATTTGATGCTTCGACATTATTTGGCAATTGATGGCAGACAATCTCCAGCATATATATATATATATATATGTATATATATATATATATATATATATATATATATATATTATATAGAGAGAGAGTGTGTCTGTTCGTCTGTGTTTGTTTATGTGTGTCTTTGTATGTGTGAGTAATCTATTGGTTGTGGCGAGGAACGGAAGTGTTTATATTGTTACTACAGCTGTCAGCCAGAGCATTGAGGAATTGATATATAAAAGCATTTTCCATGCATTTCCCTGACATTTCCGCAGCGCATGGCAAAAGCAAAAATTTTTTTTAAATGTTTAAAAGATAGATGAGAGCGGCGGACCGACCATAAAAACCGAGAAAATATCAAAGAAATGGCCAAGCTACAGTCAGCGAAAATATGACTAACTCAATAAAAAAACAAGTAAGAAATCTCTAGTCGAGACTGCGCGACTACGATATTCCCTGAACCCTAAAAGCAGCTAATATTTCAATAGTAGTTTGCACACACACACGCATACAAACAAATACACGCACACACATACACATACAAACAGGGGACTGCGCTTGGGTTGTGTTGGCAATATTATGAGAACTTATTTGTTGAATAATTTAATTTCTAGACGTAC